CAATGGCCGCAGAAATCTTCCCTGTGTTTCTACGATTGAGTTCAATTAGCGATTAACAACAAACATTTGTCAGTGCGGTCTCTCGGACTCTTTCTTGTTTGCATGACTTCATTCTTACTCCTCGCAATGGCACGATTCGTCAAACCTCAAATGACGGTGTAAAGAACGGACTACATATTCTGAAGAGAGGGTTATGGTCTGAGAAGAATGGTGGTGAAGAGGTGAGTTTACGTATAAAATCGATCCTACTATCACATCTGCTTAAACAACAAATCAACCTACACTGCAGAAACAAATTCAACTCACCTGGTCTGATAGCGTTGCGGGTGCAGTGTTTCTGAGCCCATTCCTGAGCCGAGGTCAACAACTCATCGACGTTTTGTCCATTGACTTCGCTGTTAAAAGTTTCGGTAAGATGTTGGAACAAAAGATAAAGCTGAAAAGAAAGAAACTTTTTATCACTGGGAACGTCATCCTTGCAACAACAACAACAACAAGAAACGATAATCGGTTCTTAGAGGAAGGAGTTTTTGAACGGACTCCAATAGCGAAAATTCGCCTTTATAAAAAGTCGCCTTACAGACAGGAATGAATCAACGGAAGTCAATTAGATGCTTACACATATTTACTTTGAAGAGAGCAGTGCAAGAAACTTTGGCTAACCCAATGTTAGTCTTCTGCAATTTTAGGCATTATGACAAGCACCGTAGTTTTCACTAGTCGACTTAAAGTTTCACTGTTAGTAATTAAGATCGAACGAAATTCCTGAATTCTTTTCTACCAAAGTTGATGACAGTATTGTAACCTAAGGAAACTAATGATTAAATGAGCTGTCTCATTAAGTTTAAGCCTTAATATATCACCATACGTGCTGTTCATAATTAATTTTGCGCCAACGTCATGAAAGAATGCTGAACTATGCAGAATGTTTTTATCTAGTAAACGTTGTTAAATGTTTCTCAGCACGAGGTTTTATCATATGTTTAGTCTATTCATATATGGTTAGTTGATCAGCGTATAAAATTTAGGATAGCTTAGATTAGTATCATAATTATTCAACGATATGCATATAGGTACTTTACACCGTGGCTGATACACGAGTAAGGTATTAAGAGTTAATAATACACGCATGACAAAATATAGACGAAAAGACAATTAATTCTCCGCATCTTCTTTTGGTCGAACCGCCAGACCATTACG